TATGACCGAGTTTGGCCCCCAGGAGGTGCCATTACTAAACTATAAAGGCCTATTTTGCTTGAAGTGATTGCAGCGATAGTTGCGTAGCGATAATCGCTCCACAATATTAGCTGGGCACTGCTCTAACGGAGTTTGCGTTGTCCTGTTTTGCTTAGAGCGACTGTCGCAAGAGTCGCTAGCTACAGTCGCAGACCACTGCCCTGGGTACTAGTCTTGCTATAATCGCGCCGCGACTGATGCGCAGCGACACATGTGCAGAACCTCAAAACAGTGCAGTTCACTCAGTCAGTAGGCACATTAAAAATAATAGGGTGAAAATAACCATAATTTACTTTTTTTGTTCACATTAATTTTTCTATTCAAGTGCTGTTACGATTGTACTGTTTTGGCTATATTTCCTTAGACATTCATTTCATTTTCTACATTAAATTGTAGAAGAAACAGGCGACTCTTTATTTCCAGCAAACTTTGCTTTGTCATTGCTCAAATGGTTGTGTTTAATTTCTTTTAGGTAATCATCGTCTATTTGAATTTAAATATAAAATGCTTGACTGTTCTAAGTTGACTATGTGTTATTTATTTACGTAGGTATTAATTATTGTATCAGTTTTTTGTATGAACAAATCATTTTAATTTTTATTAACTTTTTTTATTTCGACCCCAGGTTTTATTTTCCGACATTCATGTACTTTTATTGATATCACTAATTTTTTTTATTGATACGAGGTGTTAGCCCGTCCTACGTACAGGAGTAGTCAGTTAAAACTGTGTAGGCCTATAATTCAGAACAGCTAGTTTACACGTATAAAGACAAATTTTATTGCAGCCTACAGTAGAAAGAGTAATTATCAATTGAGAAGTGTATAGGCCTAGTCAATGATATCACCTTCCATCGCATACCTACCTCTTCCATAATCAATATCACCACAATACAATTACCCATACTATACATAATTTCCAGTAGCTCTGACTTGAAACTCCCTAAAATAAAACAAAAACATCCAATAAAATTCACAGTACACATAATTATAACATTGGTGTCCTGACTTCATTAAACGAATCGTCCACACACATCATGTCAATTTCACTGCATCAATTGCTAAATAAACAAGTGTAAACAACAAAAAGTAAACACAACAACATATTATACTAGTTTGTTTCGTAAACAGCTGAGTCAAAAATAAAATAATATTCATTTGAACAAAAGAACTGGTCACATGTTGAAGGAATTCAAAAAGTAAAAACGCTAGTAAAGCTAGTGACGTAATTAGTTGTCTATATTTATTATCCATTCCATTATCAATTATAGTATCCTTGATAATTAAACCACCCTCATTGAATCAATGTACATCGTAATTCCCAATATTCATTTATTTAAACTATAAAATATTCAGCGCCGCCAAACGTAACCACAACTAAACACACGCCAAACAACTTTATAGATTTATTATTATTTATTTATTCCAACGGCAATATATCACCAATTTACAATGTGGATACAATTAAGAAGCCTATGTGGTAACAACATGCATTTTAACAGAAAACTTAACAACTAACTTAAATCTATGGCAGGAGCAGAGCAACATTGGTAACAGGAAATGTAATCTTGACTAGGAAAGCAATAAATTAACAATGAAGTACAAAATAATAGTGAAAAAGCAATAACAAAGGTAAGAATTTGGACTGGCAATACAGTTAAAGAATCGATCAGCAAAAGCAAGGTGAATCTTTGGCTAGGAAAGCTATAATATAACAATGAAGTCGAAATAGAATATGAAAAAGCAATAACAATAGTAAATATTTGATCCAACAAAACAGTATTAAATAAACGATAACATAACTCAAACATAATTAAATTTACAGGAAACGAAAAAGATAGCAAATGACGAATAACAACGGGACACACTAGGTTTCATTGAAGGTCACTATTATTGAAAGTTTAAGTTATGTAAGTACTATTATTGAAGGTTTCACTAGGGTTCACTAGATTTCATAAAAGGATGCTTAGTCTAATTGCAGTATCCTAGGTCTATGATGACGTTGTGTTCAATCTATGTCATTCATCTGTATATCTTTGGATAAAACCCGTCTGAGGTTGTGGTGGTAATTTAAAATCGTATTCCTGAGGATTCTTGATCTCCATCTTTATGACATCAATATTTCCGGGCCCAATCCAAACAAAGTTCAAAGCATTCAAAAACATTGATTGTAAACAAAAAGCTGCCAAGATGAATTAAAACATGTAAAAATTGTGATTTTCCTACCCTTTCCAAAAAAGTTGAGCAGTAAAATAATTTGCATATCTTTTTTTTAAACTCGTGTACAGAGCCTCGACTTGTACACGTCGATGGTGTTACTTATCTCGGTGGTCTACTAATCTTACTTATTTCCTATAACCAATGACAAAATCAGAGTAAATAACCTCATAGTTCTATAGGGCATTTTTATAACTAACCAGCTGTTAGTTAAAACAAATTATATTGCACTAAAACAAACCGAAGATTACAAAGATTACTTAAAAAAATAATTTGAACATCCTATTTTACTATGTATATTTAAATAATCCGTCATCCTCTTATCGAAGGATTGAACGTATCAATGATTAACATTAAACATAGTATAAATAAGTCAACTCTTAGTATGTCTTTTAACATTGACTTTAATTTGATCCAAATGCTGAATTTGTGTTACAAACGCTGAATGTTTACAGCTGTTTGTTAAGCAAATTATATTGTACCAAAAGCTAGTTGAGAATCTTAGCGTCGGCTGCTAAACTTTAAAAAAATTAAAAGTTAATTTCTAAATACCTGGGACCCTAAACTAAAATTATGGCTTCGACATTCCCTAGTTCTCAAAATTATCTTTCTTTCAACACAAAAATCATGAAAGTCCGTCGAGTGGTTGATTCAGAATCGAGAAATAAAAAAACCCTGTTACGTTTTAATATTATAGATAAGTATATATTTTTTTCATTGATATCACTACAGTTTTCTATATTTCTATCCTATCTAGTGGCGTCTAGTGATTTGTATCCATCCCAAATCCTATGTATAACTGTATTTTTTTTGTTCGTCTATTGATACTTCCACTAGGGTCAAGTACAGCCTCGTCTTTTAACTCCTCTCTGAGGAGATACTTTAAAAAGTTACAAAACGCACTAATAACTTCACGAATGTGAGTGCTGGTATTCAACTAACTATGAAAAATAGCGCGGCGACGGAAAATCAATCGCTAAGCAAGCGACTATCGCTACAGTCGCTCCAAGCAAAATAGGCCTTAAAAGATTTAGTCTATGTGACATAGGCCTACATTACAAATAAATTAGTCTACAAAAAACACTTTCACTGGGCACAAAGGGACAAAATTCGTTACAACATGTTATTTTTAATCTTAACCCCTTAACCGCCGTCTAAGTAGCCTAGTCAAAATCCGCCATTGCCACTTATTTTTGCCGTTTTTGACGATTTTTACTTGTGATTTAATAAACTGTACCAGTTGTTTTTCTAAAGAAAATAGTTATCAATATTGTTTGTAGACATCTTCAAAAACATTAAGCTTTAACAATACCCTACTAAAATTTGTGATTGTGGGGGGGTGGGGTTCGGGGGTTTCTTGAGTTAGGCCTATAATAAAAATTAGGCCTACAATAAAGTCTACAACTCTATTAAATCGTCATCCTCAAGCATGTCACCAGCCATTACGACTAATATTTACTACTCATTCAACACTACCAAGTAAATAACCACCAAAAAACACAATTATAATGACACGCATAATGTACGTAAGCATTACGTAAGCTTCCGCAAGCACGAGTTTTACTGAAACTACGAACGGAACTGATCGGGACCATTACTGACCTATACCACTAAAATCCACCAGATTGCAGCACTGTCAACAACTTGTTTACGTACGTATATCAGAGATAAGGCGGGAAGTGAGCTGTTAAAAATAAAACACAACAGCTGATTACGTCAACACGAGATAACTCGTACGTGGCGGTTGCTCTGAAAACTAGTATAGCCCGGCATATCTCGTGCGTGGCGGTTAAGGGGTTAACAACGTGTTCATTACAACAACACAAAATGAGCAACTGTTAGGCCTTAGGTCCATTATTAATCAAACAGGGACCAAAAACAAACGGACCATAGCCCGCACAAAAATTAATTTTTAAAAGCAGGTTTATTGGGTAATATCTGGCCTTGAGCCACGGGAAAAGTTTGAAAAATCGACAACAAAGAAAATTACTAAACTAACCCCAAAAACTTGTGGTTTGACCACACAAAGCGCCAGCCAAAGGCCCACAAATACCTTGAAAGTCCAACCCTAGGAATGGGCCTAGCACCTTGAAACACAAGTAATTGGCAATTAAAAGTAATTCCAATACACATAAGGTGCTTAATTCTTGTTTTTCACCAGCCAAAACCCACTCCAAGCCTACACAACCATGCAGCCAATGGCCCAAGCTCAGAAAACTCAACCTAAACAACTCTACTCTAAACTCTAAACTCTAACCTGAACAAATAGAATTAATCAATCAACTTACTCATCTGACGCTTGGCGAAACACTTAATCCATGTTTACAATTGCTGTTCCTTATATCTGCATTGTGAGGTGTTTAGTTCGGGTTAGGTTTAACTAACCTAAACTTTCCTCCGTTCGCTCGGACAACTCGAGACGTCCAGGGTCCTGACGAAATGTCTCTATCTTCGTGAATCAATGAATTCAATTTCAACCAAATTTATTGAAGAGCGTTTGGGAAGGATTCTGTGTGAATGCTTCACACGGGTCGGCTAGTATTTTGTTAATAAAGACAATCTATTTTTTACTCTGGTCTGTTCTCATCTCTTCCTTTTAAACTGTGCCCTTCCATGTTTTGGGCTACCCTTAATAGACTTTTAAAATATTTTTCAGCTCTGATCTATTCTCTTTCCTGTACATTTCATACATCCATCCCATTAGTAACTATCTGTCTTGTACATTTCAATCACTCTGTGTTTCAGTATACTGGCACAAGGACACTGCCAAAGCGACACTGCTGGGACCGTGACAGTTTCATTGTTAAACCTCTTTGCTGGGGCATTTCTGTGACTACAAGATTGTTCTCGTCTCGTCTAAACTGTGAATATCAAAGGAAACGCCTCTTACTCGTTGTCTGCAGCTGTCAAGGGCAGCTAATCATTGAAGTTATTTAAAACTATAAAAGATGGTTTGACCAGTTGAAACTAGACTTTTTTTAGGAATCAAATAATTATGCTGAAAGTTGTGTTATACCAATTAACTATTTTTAGATCTACATTCGAAGCATTTAAATTTTGGACAATTTACTATAATTTGTTTTATATGTTGGTCAACAGTTAATAATTGCCAAATGAATTGTGATTTAGAACTTTGTAATGTGTGCTACAACTATTATATAGTAAGCCTAATAAAATGATTACACATATAATACGGTACATTATGTTTTAATTTAACCATTATTACTATTTAATAATTTGTGTACCCAATAAATATTTGTTGTGAAATAATATATGCTTAGAAATATTTTGTTACATTTTAAAGTGAAGATGTTAGGATTTGATTTATTCTTGTATGCTAAATCTGTGAACTTTTTCAATGATTTTCTAAAAGTATAAGACTGCTAAAGAATATTAAAGATTTGTAGTTTTTTACATTAATCAGGGTTGATAAGATAATGTTAAGCTAAGAAAATTTTGCCTGTAAGGCTTGTTTTTAAAATGTAATTCTGATTCAATTTATTTATGCATATTATAGTTAGTTATCAAGATTAGAACAAAAAATGAATATTTAAACTTGTTGATTCAATAATAATTCAACTCTTTCATTTATAATAATTTTCATAATTATTTTACAATTAATTATATTAAACAGTACAATTAAAGTAAGTGGTTAAATTTAAAAATAACCAAAACCAAAAATAAGTAATTAGTTACCAGTCATAATTTTATTTTGCGTTAGCCTCCCAATTGTAGCCTGCAATTATATTGCAAATTTCATAGTTATTGTTTCATAAACCTGGGTATTCTTTAAATTTATATATCTATGAAATCATTTGTTATATATTAAGCATGCAATAGGCTAAAATAGTTGTGAATATTTGTAATTTGGGAGTGAATTCAATTCACTACATCAATGTCATGTTAACTATATTTATAATAGTTGATAAGTTTTATATGTATAACAATCATAAATATTTTCATAGTAATTTTCTATGATTAACTGTTAGCTTAGCATAGTAATGTTAATTAATCAAAATGAAACTGAATAAAACAACTAGGGGTGTGCGAGTACTCGAGTGATTGAGAATTTATTGTTGAACGAGTATTTCAGTAGGCCTACTCGGTTTGAATGAAATATTTAATTAATATTTGTACAAAATGGCAGAAACAAAGCAGGATAGATTAGGTTGTTAAAACTTAAAAAAGAAGTGTGGATTACTCATGGGAAAATTAAATGAAACGACAAGGGCGACTTCCTAAAACTGACAAATATATTACGAAAACTTATTTTTTAAGGTTATGTATGACGTGGAGTTGGGTTTTGTTTGTGCGAGATATTTGCCATTGCCATCGTGAAACGTGTTGACAACATATAAACATAAAGTGAACAAAACTAGAGAGTAATGTAGACTGTTTGGTTAAAAAGTAGTTGTTATGAACATATGTAGTTGTTACCATAGCAACCAAAATGTTTATTATCAAATGCTGTTTACTATTCTATTCTGATCTTTAATATAACACAGTTACTTCTATTTCAACACTCTGTCTTTTTATATTCTAATATTTCCACTTGAAAGTCATCATCTCAGTTGGCGACGAGGATGGGATTACTTGAAAACATTTTCTCAGTCCATGGGTACCCCTCGTTCTTGGTCTCGGACAATGCCACTTATATTCAAAAGTGAGGAATTTATCAACTACTGTAAAGAACGTGGGATTTTCCAAAAATTTACTGCTCCTAACCATCCTGCAACAAATGGCCTGGCGGAACGAAACATACAAACTTTAAAGAGAAGACTTATTGCTGCTGCCGATGATCCAACCCCAATTACCACAAAGCTACAAAACATTATGTTCAGATATCGAGCAACACCTTTGGCATCAGGCAAGACTCCAGCAGAGTTGTATTTGAACAGGAAGATTCGGATTAGACTTGACACACTTCTCCGTAACCCAAAGGCAAAGCTTCCATCAAAATCGATTGCTCCTCTTCGCGTCCGCTCTCTTAAAGTGGGGGAGAGGGTTCAGGCAAGAGTTCACCTGGGAAATAAAGACATATGGCAGTTTGGTACAGTCAAGAGAAAATTAGGTCAATACCATTACATTGTTGAATTGGATTCTGGACAAAGTTTAAAACGACACATAAATCAATTGGTTTTGACTCTTGTATCCAAGAAGAAAGTTACCTTTACAACACAAAACAAACAAGATAGTTCTGTTGTTCCAAGAAGGATTCCTATTATAGACTGTCAAGCACCACCACAAGAGATCCATCCAGAGTCTGAATCAAATACAAACAATCCAACAGAACTAGACGGTACTCTAAGAGAAGAAAATCTAGACAGACCTCAAGCCACAGAACAAAAAGAAAACAAATTAACTCGTCCTTCCAGACAGCGCAAGGTTCCGTCCTATCTTAAGGACTTTGCTCTCCAGCGATTAAGTGGGGGAGAATGTTATGAACATATGTAGTTGTTACCATAGCAACCAAAATGTTTATTATCAAATGCTGTTTACTATTCTATTCTGATCTTTAATATAACACAGTTACTTCTATTTCAACACTCTGTCTTTTTATATTCTAATATTTCCACTTGAAAGTCATCTCAGTAGTTATAAGAGTTCCAATTTAAATCCATGTGTGTAGCCCCTGAGCTGTTGGACATAATGTAAGACTAAATTACTTACGTAATTCCCGTGACAGCTCAATAAAACGACAAGGGCGACTTCCTAAAACTGACGAATATATTACGAAAACTTGTTTACTTAAGTGAAAAATGAGAGAGAGTCATAATTTCTCATTGAGAGTCTCATTGAGTAGAGAAAAATGATTAAGTGGTTTTATTGAGCTGTGACGGGAGCTGTGTTACGTAAGTAATTTAGTCTTACATATAGTCCAGGCAAACTAAACAAACTTACATAGGGACCGTTAAAAAAATTGCAAGAAAACGTTTTATGGTTTTATTTTGTAGAGTTGGGTTTGCAGAATGACATACTAAAAGTTGCCAAAAATCGGTGCACGAGAAAACCACTAAAATCACAATTTAAAATGGCGGCTTTTTTCAACATTGGACAAATTAAAAAAACATATTTCACATGCATTTGCTATGCACATTTTTCGAGATATTGACTTGGGACCACCGCCTGTATTTATTGAGTGGTTAGTACTTCATTTTGATAGGGAACATGTTTTTGGCCGCCATCTTGGATCCGCCATATTGGACATAGATAATTTGTTTTCAATGTAATGATAGTGTTGTGACACATCATTACCAACTACATTTTTACACTGATTTCAATGCCGAAATCCGTTTTTAAATATCTTTATTCATTTAGAAGATATATACAAAAGAAAACTCTGCACCATACATTTCTTATGGACGTTTCGTAGTTTGATATTTTTTTTAAAATTATTTTTCTTATATCTCCAGTTCTTATTAACGCTTGTAGTTCGTTCTAGGCTTAAAATATTCAGTAATGTAAGGGCTTTCATTTGAGCTAATGGGATTCGACAGTGCTGAGGTTAAATTAGGAGATATTAAGAGTTTGTACATCCCCAAAGCCAATAGAAAAGATATTGAAGATATTATTGTAAAATTAAAGAAAAATAGCCCCGGTATAGATGGAATAAGAGAATGTGATTTAAAAAAGTGTAATTTAGAAGCCGCTGAAGTGCTGGTTAATATAATAAATGCATCACTTGATGAAGGCAGAATGCCGACTCTGCTAAAAACTGCTATTATAAGACCTGTTTATAAATCAGGTTGCCACAATTCATACCAGAACTATCGCCCAATATCTATTCTTTCTTCAATAGATAAAATAATGGAAAGGTACATTGCACACCATTTAAATAAATACTTAGCAGAAAATGATGTTATAAATAAAAGTCAGTATGGTTTCCAGAAAAACAAAAGTACAGAGTTATTGCTGAAAGATTTTTCTAACAATATTAACAAAGAATTAGGGCAGGGCAATCAAGTAATAGTAACTTTTATAGACTTTACTAAAGCTTTTGATACACTGCAGTTTGATAAAATATTGACAGCACTCAAGGACATAGGAATTTCTGGCAGGTTTTTAGAATGGTTTAGAGACTATCTGAAAAACAGAAAAATTATTGTAAAAGTGCATAGTACATTTAGTGAAGAGGCAGAACTTTTTTCTGGGGTACCTCAAGGAAGTATTTTGGGCCCAATCTTATATATAATATATGCAAATACACTCCCAAAATATATAAAAGAAGACACGGTTTTTATGTACGCTGATGACACTGCAATTGTCGTATCAAACAAAAATATAATAGAGGCAGAAAAAATATGCAGAATGCTGTTAACAACCTTTTAGAATGGTGTCATGATTATGGATTGGTAATAAATGACAAAAAGTCCAAGGTCATGCATGTGCATTCACCTGCATTTAAATGTTCTAATGTAAGCATTACTTACCATAATTTTGATTGTTTACATAATCATACTTACTCACTTATCCCAAAAAGTTGTCAATGTAAGAGTTTAGAGAATGTGCATGATTTTAAATATTTAGGGGTTCATGTTGACCACAATTTTAAATGGGATATACATGTTAATTATGTTTGTAAAAAAATCAGATCATGTGTTTGCAAAATTTTTTATTTAAAAAGTGTCCTGCCATTTAATGTGCTATTGGTGATTTACCAGTCATTGTGTGAATCAATATTAAGATATGGTGTGAGAGCATGGGGCAATGCTTCAAAGACTTCTCTGAGGAAAATTGAGCATCTGCAGGAGCAAGCGCTCAAATGTATTGTTCCAGTGCACATTAAGCAGTTACCAATTATAAAGATTTTTCATTTTGTTATACTGCTACCTGTTAGTAAGTTATATATCTTTTTGATATCCACTGATCATTTATTTGATGACAGCTTGAAAATAGTCAATAATCACCCATATGATGTTAGAAGGAATTATTATTTTGTACCAAAGCACAGGAATAAGTATGGAAGTAGAACACTTGAAGTTTTTGTTCCCAAATGTTTTAATAACCTCACAAATCATATGGTTTTTGCAAATAGTTATAGCATGTTTAAACATTATTTAAAGGAACTTGTTTGGAATGATTTGTTACAATTTTAATTTATTACAATTATGCATTTAATTTATTTACATTTTAGTTGAAGTTAAAGTAATATATTATTGTTATTTATTCCAATAGTTTATTTGTTATTGTTACTGTTGAATTTTTACAGATATTTGTGTCTTTGTTGTCTTTTTTTTGTTATTAATTACTCAAGAGACAATTAAGAACTCATAAAACTGCATGCTACTGATTCAAACTGACAAAAACTGTATGGTAGATAAGAAACAATATTTTTAGTGCAGACAAACCATTTGTGGTTTTTGCACTTTTGTATCCTATGTATTGGCAATTATTGTGTAAATAAATTTCTTGATTGATTGATTGATTGATAAGCTCTTGATCATTAAAATCAGACGAGTTAAAGACCTGCTACGAACCTCAGAACAATATTAAATTTAACTTTTTAGAAATATATTTTTATTAAAATATTTATAACTCGGGTTGTTAATACGTCACCAAGTTCTTTCTTGTCTCAAATTACTCAGTGAATGTTTAGCTTTGATTTTATTAATCACTAAACAAAATCTGACAATTTTAGAATGAGCCATGGACCATAATTTAACATTAAAATGTATTTATTTTGAAATTTGTCTTTAGTTAAGGACATATATCCCAAACCCTAATAACTCCTGGAAAGTAATCCATAGCTAAAATAAAAGTCAATATTTTGGCGAATTATTTAAGACTATAAAGAGTTTTGGGAGTTATTTAGAATTAGGAATATACGTCTTTAACTAAAGACAAATTTCAATATAAATACATTCTAATGTTAAATTATGGTCCATGGCTCATTTTAAAATTGTCAGATTTTGTTTAATGATCAATAAAATTAAAGCCAAACATTTACTGAGTAATTTGAGACCAGAAAGAACTCGGTGACGTATTAACAACCCGAGTTATAAATCTTTTAATAAAAATATATTTCTAAAAAGTTAAATTTAATATTGTTCTGAGGTTCGTAGCAGGTCTTTAACTCGTCTGATTTTAATGATCAAGAGCTCAAATGAAAGCCCTTACATTACTGAATATTTTAAGCCTAGAACGAACTACAAGCGTTAATAAGAACTGGAGATATAAGAAAAATAATTTAAAAAAAAATATCAAACTACGAAACGTCCATAAGAAATGTATGGTGCAGAGTTTTCTTTTGTATATATCTTCTAAATGAATAAAGATATTTAAAAACGGATTTCGGCATTGAAATCAGTGTAAAAATGTAGTTGGTAATGATGTGTCACAACACTATCATTACATTGAAAAAAATTATCTATGTCCAATATGGCGGATCCAAGATGGCGGTCAAAAACATGTTCCCTATCAAAATGAAGTACTAACCACTCAATAAATACAGGCGGTGGTCCCAAGTCAATATCTTGGAAAATGTGCATAACAAATACATGTGAAATATGTTTTTTTAATTTGTCCAATGTTGAAAAAAGCCGCCATTTTAAATTGTGATTTTAGTGGTTTTCTCGTGCACCGATTTTTGGCAACTTTTAGTATGTCATTCTGCAAACCCAACTCTACAAAATAAAACCATAAAACGTTTTCTTGCAATTTTTTTAAGGTCATATCCTATATTTACCCGACTAATAAGAGTTCCATTTTCAACAACGGAAAATAAGTTAGTTAAAACAAAAAAAAATTATGTTTCTTTGTTCATTCGTACAATAATGCAAAATTTGACATTAGAGAATAACCACCAGTGAATATAATCATTGAATGTTTTAAATAGATATTTTAAAATATTGTATACAATTTTTAAGAGCATAGTTTACTGCTCAACGATTAGTAATTACAACAAAGTATTTGGTTAAATTTAATCTCTGCTGTGGAGGTTTAGAACAAAAGAAAATTGCAATGAATATGCATGGCCAAGTTGTACACTAAATAAATTTTAGTTGTTAACTTTTAGGGCTTAGTTTTATAAGGTACTTTCATAACTAAGCTAGGTAAAAAGAATTATTTCAATATTCAATTACAACTATAAAGTTAATTTGCCTCTTTAGTGATGACTGTTGATTTTAACAAATATTCAGATGGCACAGAAACACACAAAGTAAGAGTGAGTTGTTCGCTCAACTAAACTGTACGTTAAGAAGTTTATCATCTGCATTCTAGGAGTATTAAAACAACTATTTTTTTGAATTGTTTTTTTCTCCGGTATTATAATTTGGCACATCTATCTTACACATTTTAAAGATGTGGTAGGCCTACGGTTAATGAAACAGTCAGGTTAACAAACAGGTGTCTTGACGTTCAGTACTGTATTTGTTTTTATATATTTTTTATTTTGTGCTTCTACTTGGCTCATATTCAGCGTACTGTTTAACTCTGAAGCTTAGAAGAGTGTCAAGATGGCTTGCAAACCTTTAACATTATTATAAATAAAATAAAACCCATGGTTCAAAAGAAATTGCTTGAGTGATTCACATTTTGTAAATAGACAGTTTATTTAACGGCATTGGCACAAGTGAGTGGCATTTTCTTAATTATTTAGGAAGGTGGTCCAAACCCTGGTTGTGTAACTTGATCTCCCTAACATCAACTAGTGATTAGAAAGAAAGCATTTCTAATCAGTAGTTCAAAAATGATATACGTTATCAAATAACAGATAAAAGAATGTACATGCACCGGGACATTATAGGAATACAGTATTGTTTTTTAAGTGCCTGTAAGCATAATTACTTAGCATTTGTATTTAAATCTAATGCATACTTTTTGGAAAGTTTCTGTACCATAAAGCACCTATTTAATTGTTTTAGTTTCTTTCATTAGAATATTATGAAAAAATCGCACATGTCGCTTCAATATAAAAGTACTCAATTTGAAAAAGTCCGAAGCACGCAAGTTTTTTGGAAAACTCAACTTGACTCGTATATGATGAATTTACTACTCGCACACCTCTAAAAACTACTTTTTAAAATGCTGTAGTTTTTACATCATTACTTTTAAAAATTTTTAATCTATTTCACTTCAAATTATTTTCAATCTCAAGTAACAAGTTTACTGAAGTAACTTATTAAATTGTGTTGGTAAAGTTTATTTTATTTTCTTCTTAATTATGTTTATCTGATATTACATGGCATATTCATATTTTATACATCTCCATTACATACATTTTAAAATGAAGTCTACTTCAGTAAAAATGTAATATAAAAATGTAATTTAAATCAGAAAATCTTTTCCGAACACAATTTTGTTAGCTTAATTTTATTTTATTGACGGTTATAAAATTTTGTATTTTGAAATATGTTTCTTATTATGGGTTTTTTTTATGTTTTTTAGTTTTTAAACTAAGCTTCAATTACACAATTGTTTTTTGTTGTTTGTTACTGCACTGTTCTTAATGACTCAATTTCAATTTTGTAGCATTTATCTATTCTCTTAATTAAACTGTAGTATAAATTTACATGTTATTTATATATTTTCAAAAATATTTATAAAATATTATATTATGTGGGCTTAACTAAAATTAGCCTTGCTTTATACATTTTTGGAAGAGTTCAATAACTAATTATTGTATAAGGATTTTGTATTATTATAATTTTGACTATTTTATTTACAAACTAAAAATAGTATGAAATGCCTCTACATAATGTATTTTATTAGTGTAAGGTTAGCAAAATTATGTTTACAAAATCGAGGAAGATATTGTAATTAAGTTACGGTATATTTAAAATAATGTATAGCAAGGTTGGTCTTTATGTTTAAAAATGATTTAGTAAAAACTTACAAGCGTCTACAGCCTGACTGATCACTTATTCCAAACGAAAAAACTGGCCACTGAAAAAGAAGAACCAACCTGGTTGGTGACTGCGGCATGTCGTCTGCCACGTCATAGCATATTACGGAATACAGAACAGACGGAATCCTAATAACCTCAATTCTCAAAACTGAAATGTATTTACTTAATCAAATGTATTAAACAATATTAATTTTATTTTAGAACAAATTTTTAAAACAGTAGAGGGGAACTTGTAATAGCAAAAACATAGCAACAAGAAAACAACTATTATCATATGGTTAAATTAAAACAGTAAAACACATGGCAAAAACCAACACTTAACTAAAATTATAATTGGCATCTGATTTATTTGTGATTCTGAGGAGATTGGGGGAAGAAATAACAGCACATTAACATTGAATTCTAAGAAGTTATTATTACTGAGTCAAATAAAAGGGTTCCAAACTTATAACAGAGTTTATGTGATTTTATTTATATGTTAAAAAATTATGGATGAACATTAAAAAATCATTGAGAATCAAATGTAGGCTTAAACATTGAGTACACATAACAACACCAACGGGCAAAATAACAATTATGATAGGATACAAGTATATCTTAGTGATGGATTTTTATAAAGCTTAATAAAAATTATATTTATTCAAAGAAAACGTTTATTAATTAATACAGTAAATTGATGATAGGCACATACTATCCAAGATAAATATTTGCAAAAGACTAAAAAAGACTATAAAACATCAAAATAAAAAAAAAACCCACAAAATAGTTTTGCCATTGTCTTTACCCAAATCACTTTATCATGGCCATGTTTCTTTTTAGATGGACAGTTTAAGTTGTGCTTGTAACTGTCCAAAGCAGCACAGAAGTCTGTTTATCACACTATTCACAGCAGAAACCAAAGTCCTTTCGATCTTTTTTCATTGCCAGACACATCATTAATAATTTACCACAAAAAATTCAGAACTTCTTTTTAAAAACACTGTGCAGTATCAAGAAAAGCAAAGAAAGCTAAGCTAATCAAACAGCTAAGTGAAGCTGAAAGAGAGCAAAGCAAAACGCCGAAACATAACGGACGATAGATCTCATACGTCACCAAGAAAAAGTAGTTCTTCTTTTTCAGTGGCCAGTTTTTTCGTTTTGCAATAAGTGATCAGTGTAGACGCTTGTGTAAAACTTATAAAATAAATAATTTTGGAAAAAATTTTAAATGTCTAGAGTCAGTGAGTTGTGTTAGTGAATTCACATTTTAGCCTTTTTTATATACTGTTCATGTTAACTTTAAGACTTTTTCAACTCAATTCCGAGATAACATTAAGAAATTCTGGTAAATTCAAAACCGTTCTTATGAAATGTTTGAACTTCTACAGTAATTTGGTTACGTTTTTGCAAACAATTTTACTATACCTTTATTTATTTTTGAATCAACTATCTAACTAACTTTATAAATTAATTAAGAAATTGTGTTTTTTTTTTACTTTTCTCTTAACTATCAACGACAAAGTATACTGGATTATTTTTAGATTTACAATTTTATTGTATGTAGTATATATGGGTATAGTACAATGATTTATTATAATTTTATCTATTTAATATATTCATTTTATTACTATTGATCAAACTGTATACTGATAATTTATTTAAAAGTTTGAGATATTCAAATATAACTCTTATTGTTTGTTTTTATTTTGTATGGTGAAAATGAACTGATTTATTTTTTATTCGATATTACTTTACTCAGTATTATATTTTTTACCTATGGAGGATTTTATATTGTTATTTCATCAAAATACTGTAATTATATTGTTTAGCTGATGTTTTTATTTGTTCGGTTTTACAACTTTCAATCAATTTTAAAATACTGTATTGACAAAATCCCTTATGCAAACTAATTTAGGTCTAATATATTTTTTGATACTAGTGATTTTGCAATGATTTGATATATATTTTTCTAATTAAAGAGTATGTGTTTATTTCAACAATGATAGCCTTCTCAATGCTACACAAGGTACTGTTGCTTATTGCCCACTTAGGTTGCATCATCACTAGCATTTGTTCATCAATACTGTATATTAAAAGTATAACTATCAACTACTCTACCAAGCTCATTACAGTATGTGTTAATGTGTTGTTAAACCTACTTACATTTATACAAATTAAATCTACTACAAATTTAATGAGTTTGTAATATTTCTTACACCCATTCAATAATCTATCAGTTGGTACTCATATCACAATAGTACCTATATTTCACCATTCTCTCTCACGTCAAATGATTCTTTTTGGCTCAAGCTTCAGTTTCACAATCGGGGCGAAGTTGAGGTCGGAAAACAAGCGAGGGTTGAAATGACACTTATTTCCCGTGTGATGAACTATATTTTTTGTCACCTTGCAACACTTTTTAACAAACTAAGTTAGAAAAAGAAAATACTTTTTTTGTAAAATAACGTGAAGTCATTCTCTCAACCTCTCTAAACAACTTGCAACTAGTTTTCAATTTTGTTAACAAGCAGCTGTTTAATAAGTGATTCAATCATTTTGTCCCTTACGATTGTCTACGTGTACATTATACCATATTCAAAATGTTGAACTATTTACAAGAATGCAACAATAAGCTACAACCGATGAAATCCTTCGATACATATTTTCGAGCAATCAAAGTTTACTACAGCTGACTTTTACTCCCTATGCAGCGGTTCCAAAATATTTGTCGCGTACCCACTGGTGGGTTGCGGTAGCTTTTTTATGTGGGTCCCGGTAAGTCACAATATAAAGGCAACTCGTGCTTTATTTACAACTAATTTTTGCTTTTTATTTTGTTTCCAGTGAAACTTTAATTTATTATGTGGCTGCACTTTAGTTATGTCCTGCACTCATTCGAATGAATATATCAATTGATATATCAATTATTTCATTTGATATACTGTATCAAGTTTGGTTAGTTAGGTTAAAACTTAACCGAATGAAATAATCGATATATCAAATAATAGTCTATATATCAATAGTCTTTATTTTATTTTATTTTGCTTCCAACGGTCCAAACAAACCAATTTACAATTATTTTTTTTATATAATGCTTACTCAATGTTCCTATAGCTAAGGGTCAAGCCAAACATGCAAAGGGGCTTAAGAATCTACTTAATGAGAGAACTTGACAAGACAACAATAAGAACAACAACTAAAAATCTGAGCAATGTTGACTAACAATGATAGATCTTTGATATAATTAACATTGAATAAAAATGTGTAGCCAACAAAGATAACAAAAATAATAACAACAACAACAACAAACAACAACAGCATCAAATACAATAGCAACAATAATAGATAACAACAGGAACGAATAATGACAATAGCATATAACAATAATAATGCTAAAATAGAAAATATAACAATAGTAATAAATAAATAAACTGATATTTTACTTAAACAACAAATCAAGGCAGCGCCTCACAGATCAACAAGTAACATCTTTTTTTTCAACGACTCGCCACTGGTGGAGAAGAGGTTGATATCTTCCGGTAAGCTGTTGGCCAAGAGTTGGATGCGGGGAAATGTACTGTGGAACATGTACTGGGTTGAGTACTGACGTCTAGCGAACGGATGAGTTTGGCGCAGGTGACGGGATGTGCGGAAGTTCAACTTATATAGTAGATCAGGTGCATCAATGTCTCAGTTAATTAGCTTCCTCAGGAACAGAAGGTCATTGATTTCACGTCGTGCAAGTAGTGGCCTCAAGTTTAACTGAAGTTGTAAATTCTGGATAGGAACGGTGCGGTAGTCATAACCCATCAGCACACCAACCAGACGAATGAAACGGCTCTGCACGTTCTCAAGACTCTCAATCTGCCCAATCAGGTAAGGGCTCCAAACTGGTGATGAAAACTCAAGTAAAGGCCTGACTAGATCTATGTAGAGGATTCTCAATGCATTGATAGAGAACATGTTTTGCGACTGTTCCTTATAATGAAATATAGGGCAGAATTTGCTCTCTTGCAGATAAAATTTATATGGTCTTGAGGGTTTAAATTTGGTGAAAGTATGACGCCAAGGTCCTTGATCCTGAAAGAACGTGGGAGGGGTTGACCGTCAAGTAAGTAGGGGAAGATAATGGGTGTGCTAGATCTGGAAAAGGATATCACAGAGCATTTTGAAATATTCAGAGTCATCTCATTATCACAGCACCACTTCATCAGCGAATCAATACCGTTCTGCAGAACTTGGCAATCATCCAGGGTTTTAATTGTTTTAAAGAGTTTAGCATCATCAGCAAAGAGCAAAATGTTTGACCCCTGAGTAAGCTGTACCAGGTCATTAATAAATATTAAGAAAAGAACTAGGCCTAAAAGTGATCCCTGAGGCTAACCGGAGACAGCAGAGAAAGGTTGAGACAGACAGCCAGCACCCGAAAACAACCTGAAGAAAACGATCCTGGAGATAACTTCTTAACCACACCAAGAGGCATCCGC